GACTCTGTATCAAAAAAAAAAAAAGAAGAAAGAAAGAAAGAAAAGAAAAGACACAGTAAAAATATGCTATTATGGTGGGAGCAATGGCTCAAGCCTGTAATCCCAGCACTTTGGGAGGCCAAGGCAGGTGGATCATGAGGTCAGGAGATCGAGACCATCCTGGCTAACATGGTGAAACCATGTCTCTATTAAAAATTAAAAAATTAGCCGGGCGTGGTGGCGGGCACCTGTAGTCCCAGCTACTCGGGAGGCTGAGGCAGGAGAATGGCATGAACCCAGGAGGCAGAGCTTGCAGTGAGCCGAGATCACGCCACTGAACTCCAGCCCAGGCGACAGATCGAGACACAGTCTCAAAAAAAAAAAAAAAAGCTATTATAATCTTACGGGGCTACTGCCATACACGCAGTCATCGTGAACCAAAACATTGTTATGCGGTGCCTTACTGTCCATCTCTGTCCAAATGTTCTCTTCTTGTAAGGATACCAGTCACACTACATCCTGATCCACAGTACTCATTTCAGCCTTAAAAAGGACCGGGTGGCTGGGAACGGTGGCTCACGCCTGTAATCCCAGCACTTTGGGAAGCCAAGGTGGGTGGATCATTTGAGCTCAGGAGTTCGAGACCAGCCTGGGCAATGTGGCAAAGCCCCATTTCTATAAAAAATATAAAAATTAACCAAGCATGGTGGTGCACACCTGTGGTCCCGGCTGCTCTGGATGCTAAGCTGGGAGGATCACTTGAGCCCAGGAGGTCAAGACTGCAGTGAGCTCTAACTGTACCACCGTACTCCAGCCTGGGTGACAGAGTAAGATCCTGCCTCAAAAAAATAAAAATTAAAAAAAGGAAAAGAAGCTGGGCTTGGTGGCTCACACCTGTAATCCCAGCACTTTGGGAGGCCAACACAAGTGGATCATCTGAGGTCAAGAGTTCGAGACCAGCCTGGGCAACATGATGAAACCCTGTCTCTACTAAAACTACAAAAGTTAGCCAGGTAAGCTACTCAGGAGGCTGAAGCAGACGCATCGATTGAACACGGGAGGCAGAGGTTGCAGTGAGCCGAGATCACGCCACTGCACTCCAGCCTGGGCAATAAGAGCAAAACTCCATCTTGACAAAAAAAGAAAAGAAAAGCTACGATGCTCTACACTCATCCTCAGAGGCAGAATGGCAAAAATTGCTGGCTCACACTCCCAGGCAATGGCCACGTGCTGGGGCACCTTCCATCCCATTCCCTTTCCAGCCTCCAGAAGCTCCACAAGGTCCTGGACATGAGTCTCCATCACTTGGGAGTGCCCTGGCTGCAGTGTGGGCGATGCTGAGCTGGCGTCTCTCCCTGAGCTGCGCTGACACCTGCTGGAGGCTCTGAGGGCTTCAGTTCACGAAGGCCCACGGCAGCAGCTGCTCCTTGTAGCGCATCCATGGACCAGCTCCACACAGTCAAAGACCTTGTCCCAAGCGGGGTGCGGTGGCTCACGCCTGTAATCCCAGCACTTTGGGAGGCCAAGGGGGGGCAGTTCACAAGGTCAGGAGATCAAGACCAGCCTGACCGACATGGTGAAGCCCCATCTCTACTAAAAATACAAAGCCGGGCGTGGTGGCACATGTTTGCAATCCCAGCACTGTGAGAGGCCGAGGTAAGAGGATCGCTTGATCTCAGGAGTTCAAGACCAGCCCGGCCAACATGGTGAAATCCTGTCTCTACTAAAAATACAAAAATTGGCTGGGCGTGGTGGCTCATGCCTGTAATCCCAGCTACTAGGGAGGCTGAGGCAGGAGAATCCCTTGAACCCAGGAGGCAGAGGTTGCGGTGAGCCAAGATCACGCCACTGCACTCCAGCCTGGGCGATAGAGCAAGACTCTGTCTCAAAAAAAAAAAAAAAAAAAAAAAAACAATAAAATTAGACAATTTAGATGAAATGGACAAATTCCTAGAAGTTCCAAGAAAGACACAAATTACCAAAACTGACTCAGGGACTTTGCAAATGTCGATAAGAGTGTGGACCCTGGATGGGAAGATAATCTGGTATTTTCCAGGTGGACACATTTATTTATTTACTTTATCTTTTTTGAGATGGAGTCTCAATCTATCATCCAGGATGGAGTGCAGTCACACGGTCTTGGCTCACTGCAACCTTCACCTCCTGGATTCAAGCAATTCTTCTGCCTCAGCCCCCCGAGTAGCTGGGACTACAGGCACTCGACACCACATCCAGCTGATGTTTGTATTTTTAGTAGAGACAGGGTTTTACTATGCTGGCCAGGCTAGTCTTGAACTCCTGACCTCAAGTGATCCACCCGCCTCAGCCTCCTAAAGTGCTGTGATTACAAACGTGAGCCACTGCGCCTGGCCCAGGTGGACAGATCTAGTCACATGGGTCCTTAAAAGCAGCAAACTCTTCCTGGCTGTGGTTGGAAGGATGCAGTGTTGCTGACCTTGAAAAATGCAGAGAACACCCGGGCGCTGCGGCTCATGCCTGGAATCCCAGCACTTTGGGAGGCAGAGGTGGGTGGATCACTTGAGGTCAGGAGGGCAAGACCAGCCTGATCAACATGGTGAAACTTCATCTCTACTAAAAATACAAAAATTAGGTGGGCATGGTGGTGGGCACCTGTAATCCCAGCTACTCAGGAGGCTGAGGCAGGAGAATCACTTGAACCCAGGAGGCAGACATTGCAGCGAGCTGAGATTGCACCACTGAACTCCAGCCTGGGCAACAAGAGAGAGACTGTTTCAAAAAAAGAAAAAGAAGAACAAGAAAATGCAGAGAAGGGCCAGGCACCGTGGCTTCTGCCTGGAATTCCAGCACTTTGGAAGGCTGAGGTAGGAGAATCGCTTCAGCACAGGAGGTCGAGGCTGTGGTGAGCCACAATCACGCCATTGCATTCCAGCCTAAATGACAGAGAGACCCTGTCTCTATTAAAAGAGAAACCAGGCACGGTGGCTCATGCCCGTAACCCCAGCATTTTGAGAGGCTGAGATGGGTGGATCACCTGAGGTCAGGAGTTCAAGACCAGCCTGGCCAACATGGTGAAACCGAGTCCCTACTAAAAATACAAAAATTAGTGGCTGGGCACAGTGGCTCATGCCTGTAATCCCAGCACTTTGGGAAGCCGAGGCGGCGGATCACGAGGTCAGGAGGTCAAGACCATCCTGGCTAACATGGTGAAACCCCGTCTCTACTAAAAAAAAAAAAAAAAGGAAGCCTTTGTGATGTGCACACACAGATCACGAGGGTTACTACATGACGATACATGGCAGATGTCAAAGAATAACTCAGAGACAACTGCACAGAAACGATTTCTGCACATATGAAGGAGAGCCGCTATCACGTTTGGGATCATCTGGTTAGCTGGCAGCTTCCCACATAGCCAGACTGAGTCATCTGCCCTCAGCACCTGTCCAGGGCAATTAAAGAAAATATTCTTTTTTTTTTTTTTTTTTTTTTTGAGACAGAGTCTCGCTCTGTCACCCAGGCTGGAGTGCAGTGGCCGGATCTCAGCTCACTGCAAGCTCCGCCTCCCGGGTTCACACCATTCTCCTGCCTCAGCCTCCCGAGTAGCTGGGACTACAGGCACCCGCCACCTCGCCCGGCTAGTTTTTTGTATTTTTTAGTAAAGACGGGGTTTCACTGGGTTAGCCGGGATGGTCTTGATCTCCTGACCTCGTGATCCGCCCGTCTCGGCCTCCCAAAGTGCTGGGATTACAGGCGTGAGCCACCGCGCCCGGCCAGAAAATACTCTTTTAGTAATTTATGGATTTCCTGGAAAGCCCGGATGTTTGAGCTGCAGACTGCAAATGAGCCTCAATCCTTCCATCAGCCTCCAGGTCCACACCACGTCCCCATTCAGAAGTTTCTCAAAACAAAACAAAAAACAAAACTTTCGATAAGTATGTCCTATTTAAATAGAAGCTTAGAGAGAAATGGATAAATCTACCATAAATCTACAATTAGGGAAAGATTTCAGCATCCTCAATTTTTTTTTTTTTTTTGAGACAGAGTCTCGCTCTGCCGCCCAGGCTGGAGTGCAGTGGCCGGATTTCAGCTCACTGCAAGCTCCGCCTCCTGGGTTTATGCCATTCTCCTGCCTCAGCCTCCTGAGTAGCTGGGACTACAGGCGCCCGCCACCTCGCCTGGCTAGTTCTTTGTATTTTTTAGTAGAGACGGGGTTTCACCGTGTTAGCCAGGATGGTCTCGATCTCCTGACCTCGTGATCCGCCCGTCTCAGCCTCCCAAAGTGCTGGGATTACAGGCTTGAGCCACCGCGTCCGGCCTATCAGCATCCTCAATTATTAACAGACCAAGCAAACAAGAAACAAATCAAACAGTAGGTCATCAGATTCGAACCACACTATTTATTAACAAGCATGATTTGTGGCGTCATTTATAACCAGCCCCACCCCAGCACTTGATGTACATTCTTCTTAAGCACAGAAATTGGACTCAATGTAATATTTTAGAAATAAATAAAAAGAGGCCGGGCGCGGTGACTCACGCCTGTAATCCCAGCACTTTGGGAGGCCGAGGTGGGCAGATCGTGAGGTCAGGAGATTGTGAGTAGCCTGGCCAACACAGAGAATCCCCGTCTCTACCAACAATACAAAAAATTACCCAGGTGTGGTGGTAGGCGCCTGTAATCCCAGCTGCTCAGGAGGCTGAGGCAGGAGAATTGCTTGAACCAGGGAGGCGGAGGTTGCAGCGAGCCGAGATGGTGTCATTGCACTCCAGCCTGGGCAACAAGAGCAAAACTCCGCGTCAAAAAAAAAAAAGAAAAAGAAAAGAAAGGAAGGGGGGGGGGAGCGCTGGCCAAAAAAAAAAAAAGAAAAAGAAAAAGAAAGGGGGAGAGAGAGAGAGAGAGAGGAAGGAAGGAAGGAAGGAAGGAAGGAAGGAAGGAAGGAAGGAAGGAAGGAAGGAAGGAAGGAAGGAAGGAAGGAAGGAAGGAAGGGAGAGAGGGAGGGAGGGAGGGAGGGAGGAAAAAGGAAAGAGAAAGGAAGAAAGGAAGAAAGGAAGAAAGGAAGAAAGGAAGAAAGAAAGAAAGAAAGAAAGAAAGAAAGAAAGAAAGAAAGAAAGAAAGAAAGAAAGAAAGAAAGAGAGAGAGAAAGAAAGAAAAGAGAAAGAAAATTTCCCCTTACGTCTGAACCTTTTGATACAGTGGACGCTCAGTGGGTGTTGTTCACTGACGGTGGATGAATGGCCCAGCTTGAAGGCAGGTGACACCTCCAGGCGGGTGCTCTATGGCAAGGGGAGGTGACAGTCCTGGGAGCCCTGCCTGGGATGCAGGAACTGGCAAACACACCGCACTCTGCAGCTCTCTCTCTCACCACCTTGAAGCCAACGTGAAAGTCAGACCAGGGCTGGGTGTCCCTCTGCGTGGGCTCCTGGCACAGATACTTGCCTGGGGAAGGTGGGGCTCCTTCCCCCAGCTCCTTCCCCTAGCCCTGAGGGTGGGGTGGACAGAGCTGGACTGAACTCAGCCCTGGCTCCCAGCGCTGGCTAGCCGGTCCTGCACAGCCCCAAGAGGCAAAGGTTTCCTGGTAGCCCCCACCCCCACCCCGTGGAGCCGGACTCCGCCCCGAGACTCCAGGAGCAGTGGGAGTCCTCAGGACCCTCTGGGCAGGACGGGGCAGCCCTCTCGCCAGCGCTCCCGCCCTGGGCCCAAGACCTGCGTGCCGAGCTCGGGGGAGCCGCTGCCATCCGCCCAGAGATCCTAGACTTTCAAGCGGCCTGAATCCCAGTTCCACTAGGCGGCCCTCGTCCCGGACCACAGACACCAACCACCAGAGCCAGAATGGATGCGGGGCGGGGGAGAGAACAGGACACCCTCCGGGGACCCGCAGGACCTCTGCTCAGGGCGCTGGCGGGCGCGGTCTCGGGGCTGAGACTCCTCGGGGCCGGAGGATTCCCACTCGCCAGGGGCGCGCGCCGTGTGCGCTCGACTGGGGGCTCCTGGCGCGGCCCTGCCTCCACCTTCACGGTGCCCCCACTTCGACTCGCCCGGCACCGGCGTGAAACCTCCTGGTCGCCCTCTGAGCCCCTTTCGGGACTGGTCATCGCCGCCCGTGCGCTCCTCCCGGGCAGGCCCGGGCTGGGACCGCAGCGGGGCCGGCGGTGAGGACAGAGGCTCGGGGCGACTCGGGGGACTCAGGGCCCAGCCGCACGCTCCGCCCCTGGCGACCACAGAAGGCAACGGCTGGGCCAGGCGCGCCATAAGGAGGCAGCAGTGAGGCTGCCGGGTGCGTCCCAGACACCGGGGCTGCGGGAGGAGGCGAGAACCTTCCCGAGGCAACCGCCGCCCCCGAGGAGACATGGCGCAAAAAGCGCCCAAAGCACCTTCCTCTAAAGCCCCCGTGGGCGCGGGGGCCCATCCACAGGAGGCGTCCAGGAGGGCTTCCGGGAGGCCCTGGGGAGTGTGGGGTGTGGGGTCGACAGGCGTGACGAGGGCCCTCTACGCAGAAGGTGCGGGTGGGCAGAACTCGGGGCACAAAAGGCCACAGGGAAAGGGAGGTCGCGCAATCGTGGTGACCAGGGGTCTGGCCACAGGCTAAGGGTCTCATGTGCGGAGAGGAGGGGAATGGGGGAAGACCTGGGCACCTCTCGCTTGCCCTGCGGGCTCTCGGTCATCCGGTGAGCCCAAGCCAGGACTGGTGGGCACGGGGTTGGGGGGGTCCGGGAAGGACGGGGAGAGGCTGCTTGGGGCGCCGCCGCCTCCGCTCCCCTCCCCTTACGGTCAAGACATGCAAGCCTTGAGCTCCTGAAAACACTACCTGAGTGAGGGGTGGGGTGGGTGGAGAAGACAGCCAGGACCCCAGCACTGTCATGGTTGGCTGTGACCTCCTCCAGGATCATCTCCAGGGTGGCAGGGGTGAGAGCCCCACCCCAGCACTGAGCAACACACGACCACCCCCAAGAGGCGGGGTCACGTCCCAGCTGTGTGACCCCAGAAACTGCTGGCCCTGAGATCATCTTTGTACCATGGGAACCGAGCGCCCACCTCCTGGGGACACAGGGAGAACCCACCAGACCATGCCTGGGATGCCCAGCAGGGCAATGGGTGAGTTCGGGAGGGAGGTGGCTGCTGTCCTGCTGCCCCCAGGGACAGACTCGGGGCTCTGAGGTGGTTGTGGACCTGGAAGCAGAGCTCCGAGCTGACCCGCACCCACAAGCCTGGCAGCCACAAATTCATTAGAAACCTCAGGGGCCTGCACCAGTCCACAAGGTCCCTGGTCGCCCTCCTACTGCCGCCATCAACCCAAACGTCCCGTCCTGCACCTCCACTACAGGAGGTTCACCGTGGCCACCACCTGCTTGCAACCAGTGACAGCAAACTCGCGGCCAGCCACGCGGTAGAAGCTGAGCTGTGCGGCCAGGTCCTCCGCCCGGGCCTGGTCAGGAAAGAAGCCCTCGCCTGCCATCTCGTCCCGGAAGCAGCTGACCACATCCCGCTTGTCCAGCAGCAGAAACGGCACGATGGCCGCGGCCTGCCACAGCGGATGCTCCCGGGACAGCAGAGCCCACAGACTTGTGCGCAGGTCCTCTTCCGCCTGTGCCGCTGAGGCCTCGGCACTGCGCGCGCCGTCCGGGAGCAGGGGCAGCGCGCGGGACGCGTTCTGCAGCACGAAGCGCGTCACCTCGGCGCCACCCGCGCCACTTAGGAGCACGTAGATGGCGTTGTGGAAGTGGTGGGAGCGCTGCGGCTGCAGGAAGCCATGCAGCTCGTCCAGCAGCGGCCGCGGCAGGAGCTCCACGTCGTCCAGCACCAAGAGTGGGGTCTTCTCCTCCGCTTCGGCCCGCGCCACCACATCGGCCACGCGCCGCGCCAGCTCCTCGCGGCAGTCTTGTGCGGCGCGCGCCTCGGGGCAGTGGTGCCGCGCGTGGTACTGCAGCACGAGCGAGCTGTCCTCCAACACCGAGCGGAAGTGGCGCGCCAGCAGGCGGCCCACGTGGCTCTTGCCCACGCCACTGGGCCCGTGCAGCGCCAGGAGGAGCGGACGACTGTGCACGTGCGTGGCCAGGTAGTCCCGCATCAGCGCCACGATGCGCGCTATGGCTGCGGGCTGGCCAAACACCGCGCGCTGCAGCGCCTTCTCCAGCCCATCGAGGTCATAGCGCTGCGCGTTATCGTCCAGGTTCTCGATAGCGTTGAGAACTTGGAAGCCCACGATGGCGACCAGCAGCAGCAGGCAGTGCTGCGCGCGGCTCCTGTGCTCCACGCGCGGCCGATACTTGCGCGAGGTCTCTGGGTAAAGCACCACACGGCTGCGCCGGCGCTTCTTGCGTGGCGTCCTGGAGGGCAGCTCCGCGGGGCCGTCGAAGGTGAAGAACTGCGGCTGGTCCAGGTCCCCGCGCGGCGCCGGGGGGCTGCAGCCCGGCCTGGGCACCCCGGTCCCGACGTCGGGCCCCCCACCCAGCTGCAGGAGGCGCCGCTTGCGTAGGACGCACACCCGGCGGCGCAGGCGGAGCACGGCGCGCACGGGCGCGATCACGCACCGGCCCGTGGCTTGCGGGGCCGCGGCAGCAGGCTCCAGGCTGGGTTGGCCGCGGTCCATGGCGCAGGAACGGCGCTCCGCATACAGGTCGCCCTCCCTGCAACGGGAAGACGGGGAGGGTCTCTGGACTCCCGCCACCGCCCTTTCCCGCGGGTCGCCGGAACCGGTCCCCGGAGTGATCTTACCCCCCGGGAGTCCCGCGGGGTGTGCCCCGGGCTACCCCAGGGCCAGGGCCTGGTCGCGGCCTCGTCCCTCAGACCGGGAAGCGGCCCCTCTGCAGGGCCCCGATGCAAATCTCTCGGGTCCTCCCATAAACGGCCGAGGGCCTTAAGGAAGTGGCGGCGTAGAGGCTTATCTGGTGGCCGCCCCGGCTTCCTGGAGGAGTCGTCGAAGGAGTCAGTGGCCGCCTAGGCGCCCACTGGGGCGAAGGACAGTCGCTCCCAGACCCTGCCCCCTCCCGCGGCTCCCACTGGACTGGGCTGTCTCCCAAGGAGGGGCCGCGGGAAGCAGCGGCCTGAGCACCCAGGAGTTCAGAGACGCCCCCACACGCTCCAGAACACTTGGCGGGGGACTGGCTGGAACTTAGATTTTGAGAACAGCCCTGGGCCCCGTCCCCAGGCTCAGCCCAGGCCTCCCAGCCCCGACTCCAAAACTGGGGTCCTCCCAACACCCCTCCAGTGAACTAGCAGAGCAGCGCAGGGAGCCCCCGGAGACCGGTGGAGGTGAGGCGAAAAGACGGACAGAAGAGTCGGGTCGGAGCAAGAGAGCCACTGACTGGCAGGAACTAGCCTGGGCCCTGGGCCCTAACCCACCCCTACCTGCAGCTGGGCCACTACCCTCAGCTCCGCCGCCCCCAGACTGTGCCAGACGCCGGGGCCTGAGATTCCAAGCAGGAAATGCGCCTCCCAGGGCGAGGGGGTGGGCCAGGGGCCTCCTGGGCCAGCTCCGGCCTGGAGGGGCAGCGACACCTGCGGGTCCCCAGGGAGCGGCCGGCCCAAGCAGAGGAAGCTCCGGGGAGGTTTCCGCTTCTATGCAAAGGAAGTGAGTCAGGGGGTGCGGCCCAGGCGGGACTTGGGCTGGACGGAGGCGCCAAAGGGGGGAGGCCTGGCCGGCTTGCCCAGATCCCCTGGCCAGCGGTCACATCCCCTCTTCAGTTCTCTGGTGCTCAGAGCCCTCCTGGCTTGGTCAGGCTCAGGACACCTGGTGAGGCCGAGGGCCCCTGCCCCCACCCTGTGCTCCTGCACCTCAGCCTGTCCTCCACGGTCACCTCCCCCAGGTCATCCCTTCTACCTGACACCCCACACACAGGGCTTACAGCCGTGGGGAGGGGGCTCCAGGCCCTGTGTAATCAAGAGGGGAGCAGGGCAGCCGCAGAGGGGGAGGGCAGGGTCCTCTGCCCAGCTGCACACCCCCAATCCCTCTCATCACTCCTCTCCCTTTTTCCTTCCCCTCCTGACCCCAATAGGGGCCCCCCAAACTAGGGCTCATTGTCTTTCCCTTCCCCCTTCCTCTGTCCCCAGCCTAGAGCCCCCCGCCCAGGACAGGCCTCACACAGGGACGGAAGTTCTATCACGGAAAAAACCATGTGTGGCTCAGGGTCCCTGTGGGGGTTGGGGAACAAATTTAGAAAGAACTTGGGCCCTGAGCCAGGAGCCGGAGCTCTGGGCCCTTCCCCCTGCCGGCCTTCACATGGCCCCTCCCAGGCCCCTCCAATAGGCCTGCCTGGACGACCCTGGACTCCTCCCAGCCTGGAAGCCGCCTTTCAAGGAGGAGCAAGGTGGCCGTTTCCAGCCACACCAGTGCTGCTGGCATTTAGCTCAGGACCCTGTAGTCCCAGGGACGCCCCGCTCCTCCCAACAGCCAGCCCCGGCCTGATGGGTTCCAGCTGTATATTCCTCACCCAACCAGAGGGACCATCAGGGAAACACCGGTCGTGGGTTAGGGGTTTCCATTCTCTCCAGGAGCCAGGCCTAGGGCTCCCCTCCCCTGTGCAGGGGGTGCTGGGGGGCCCGATCCCCGATCATCGAGGCCGCGGGGGCCGCACACACCATGTGGCATGCCAGTGCTCTTCAGGCCCACGTCCCGGCCTTTGTGGGACCAGAGTATAAGGAGGTTGGCTGTCCAGGCCCTGTAGCCCCAGCATGGAGGTTGGGGTCCTTTGGGGGCCTCAGACTTTGAGTCTGGGTGCTTCTTCTGACATAGAGTGGACCCTGGAAGGGGAGGCCCTCAGGCAGATGCAGGCTTACCGGGCCCTGGAAAACCTGCAGCAAAGCCTCTGCCTCCAAGAGCACCCAAGGCTGGAGCTGCTTCTGCCAGAGGCTGGCCCAGCAAACCCTCGGGCCAGAGACCCCTGCGGAAAAGGGACTTGCTCAAGGGCCTCAAGACCTGGCCCTATGGGTCAAAGGTGAATCTGAGCCCTGGGTCAAGGCCTCGCCCCCTGTACTTTCTCCCATCTACAGGGGTGAAGGGAGCCCCAGAACCCCAGCTCCCAGTGCCATCACCATCTCCTGTGATGCCCAGGGCCACCCCCAATCACACCCATTCCCATTCCAGGAGGGCTCCCCTCCCGCCTCCCTACCCAACCCAGCCCTGCCGCTGCGCCCGGAATTCACGTCCATCACCCACAAACACAGTCCATGTTCTCAGCCTCTGAAAGGACTTCACCCTCACTGCTTCCCCCAGCTCTCACCAGCAAGGCTGTTTTCCCCAAACCGTGGGCATCCTCCCCACTCCTCCTCCCAAATTCACCATAGGTGTTCACTTCACCGGACAATGCCTCCCACGCCCGGGCCCTCTGTCCTCCCCCACCAAGTCCTTCTCCCTAACTTCCCAGCAGTGTCCACACCTGGTCACTCAGGCAGCTCTGCTCTTTCTGCCCCTAGCTACAGTAACCATGCGCCCCCGAGGCTCAGCTGTCCACTCACAGTCCCATCCCAGTCCTTGCAGCTCACACCCTCCACCTCACCAGTCCCTCACCCATGGGCTCCTCACTCTGTCCTTCCCTCCCCACCCATGAGCCTGGCACCCCCTGCAGGCACCCTGGGCAGGACCCACCCGCTGCCCAGTGACCACACCAGGCACTCGGGTCCACTCACTGGCCATGCCTCCTAAGTCCTTTCCTCGTCCTCTCCCCTGCCACTCCCCCCATCCTGCCTCCTAGCCCACACCTGAGAAACCAGGATCAGCAGCAGGGGCTCCCAGCGTCTCCTCAGCGCCCCCGCGTCTGCGCCCACCAGCCCTCCTGAGCACACCCCTGCTGTGCTGAGACCCGGCCACCTGCTCATTCAGTGACAGCCCAGCCCCTGGTCCGTCCTCCACCCCTCACCCCACCAGGTCATTCCCATCAGCCCAGAAACCTCCATTTCTCCTACCTTAAAAAAAAAAAAAAAAAAAAAAAACCGGCCAGGTGCGGTGGCTCACACCTGTAATCCCAGCACTTTGGGATTTGCAGGACAGAGCCCAGCACCTCGGATCTGTCCCCGAAGATACCAGCTCGGAGACTCCCACACCCATGAGATACCAGCACCATGGGCTTGTCTCGCCCAACAGGTCCCAGCTTGCTCAGCTGTGGCCTTGCGCTCCAGGGAGGAGAGCTCGCCGACAGGCGTCTCTGAGGACAGTGACAACTCGCAGCCAGGCCATCACCCCTGCATGGTGCAAGCCGAGGACAGTGACAACTGGCAGCCGGGCCAGCGCCCCTGCATGCTGCAAGCCGAGGACAGTGACACCTGGCGCCGGGCCAGCGCCCCTGCATGCTGCAGCCGAGACAGTGACACCTGGCAGCGGGCCACCGAGGACAGTGACACCTGGCAGCCGGGCCAGCGCCCCTGCATGCTGTGAACTGTTGCCTGGCTTTGAGGTCTCATCTACTGGGAATGGCCCCGGCTCTGTGACTGCGACCATGGCATGTCCTGGGCCTCCAGGGCTCCTGTCCCTGGTGCGCACGGGGAGGTGAGAGGTGCCCTCTGGAATTGCAGGACAAAAACAAAGCAGCTGACCTGTGTCTTAGGGTACTGAATCCCAAGGGTGAGGGCTTCCTGCCAACCTCCCCCAGAAATTATCAACCTCCTCTAGAAATTATTATATCTTCCCCCAGAAATTGTATCAACCAACCCCAAAAATTATTACATCATCCCCAGCTGCTGGTCACAGACAGGGCTGAACAGTCCAGAGAGGCTGTGGCCCATAAAGCCCCAGGTACTGGCTCCACAGTACGAATGCCCGTGTCCATCTGAGCTGCATCCAACCCCAGGGCAGGCACAGACAATTCCAGCCTCCACATTTACCAAAACGCCTTTTATTTACATACGAGAAAATCTCACCATGTGTCCAGCTGGCCTCGTCACGGCCGCTGAAGGCGGCGCTGCTGGGCGAGGAGTGCTGGTTCCAAGGGTGAAACAAGGCCACAGGTGCACCTGGGCTTGTTCTGGCCACACCTGTGACTTGGGCTGCAGGATGAGGTGGCTCCCTCCACACAGGCCCCAGGACACCCACCATGGCAGAGGCCAGGCTGCTGCCCCCACACGGCCTCCACGGGGTCACGGGTCCATCTCCACAACCCCAAGACAATAGCAGTGTGCCTCACTTTTGCCAGGCTGAGCCAATGAAGAGGCCCCACCCTCTCCCCTTGGAAAACAGGTAGTGTTTTCCTAACCCAGGAAAACGGAAAATGAGCACACTTTCTGTGGCTGTGAAAGTACAAGGAGAGGCTGTGCCCTCGGAGCCACTGCGTGGATGGCGGACAAGGTCCGGGAGCCTGCTCCAAGGAGCAGGAAGCAGGGGGCCATGACCCCAGGACAGGCCCAGCCACAGCCCCGGGAGGAGGGACTGCCCTGTATACCCAGGTCCGGGAGCCCCTTCTGGCTGAGCAGGGCCGCGACTCAGCAGGGCCCCGGAACCCGAGCAGGCCTGGAGGACCCTCAGAGTGGGGCAGGGGCGGGCACGCTGGGGAGGGGCAGCTCCAGGGCCGGCGTCTCCGCAGCCTGCGCTGGGCTTGGCTTCCGGTGGTCCAGTTGTTCCAGCTTCTCGCCGAGCTGGGAGTAAAGCTCCTTCACTGCCTCTCCACTCTGCGGGGAACCACACCATGGGGCAGGCGAGGCGCATGGGCGGGCGCAGGGGGTGTGGGGCGGGTGCCCACTGACCACACACAGGCACTGCAGGGACAGCTTGGCAAGCACACACGGGGCTGGTAGGGACCAGGCACCTTCACACAGCAGCCCCCCCCAGGCACCCACCTGGCCTGTGGGCTCCAGGGCCTTCTGCAAGGCCTCCAGCTTAGATGGGGCCACCCTGGGGTGCAGGTGAATGAGAAGCCGCAGCGCGTGCCGGTGCACGTTCTCCTTCCTAGAAAAGGCCATGCAGGGCTGGGGTGGGAAGCAGGCCCTGCTGTCTGCCCAAGGCCAAGCCCGGATGCAGGTGGCCAAGGCCCCTGGAGACAGGACACGGCCAGCCTCTGGGACCCTCCCCAGCTGTACCCAAGCACCCTGCAGGGCCACATGCGGGCCCTGGTGCCCAACACACCCACCTGGGGACCCTCTGCCCCAGGTGGGGAACAGCAGCCACCTCTCCGGCTGCGATGGACAAGAGCCGAGGCCAGAGGGGGCGAGATGGTGCCCAGGAGGCCTACCTCGGAGAGGCAGTGAGGAAGAAGCCGTCGAAGAGGCTGCTGCAGAAGTCCTCAAGGGCAAATTCGTCGGCCAGCAGCGCAAGGCTGCCCGTGAGCAGGTGGAGGAAGATGTCACCAAAGGCCAAGTCGCCAAAGGTCTCCACTGCAGACACAGCAGGCATCAGCCCAGCGCCACCCACCCTGCCCACCTCAGAGGGCACCTTTGTCTTCAGAGACCTCAGAACCTGCTTCTGGGGGTGCTCACATGGGGGTTCTTCGAAGTTCTGAGGTGGGAAGCACAGGGTCTCAGCAGGTGATGAGGCAGGTGGGAGTGGACAGGGCGGGTGGGTGGGGTGGGACCCTAGGCGGGGGAGCAGAGCTGTGGCCTGGGGACAGGAGGAGGGGT